ATTAGCATGGGCCATACTCAGCCCAGAGGAGAAATATCTCTGTACTGAATGGCTAGTGTGGAAGGGCCTTTTCATCCTCCACAGCTGAGAATTCTTGATGAACATACTTAACATCATATTTGGACCTCATATTTCAGGCCTCACCTTAAAATAGGAAGTTTGCTCCCAGAAGTTGCTCCCTTGTCCTGAGCAACTCTGTGGCAGGAAAGTGCTATCTTTGCACCTCCCAGCTTTCCATGGAGCTCCCAGATCTTTTGCAATAAAAAAATGGGGGCTCTATAAACAAGACTCCCTGGCGATTTCATTCCTTCTTAGTTCTTTTTGGCTATGAATTCGTGTCCAAGAATTTTATTTCAGTCAGCTATTCCTGTAGCCAACATAACCATTCTGGATGTATGGAAATCCATAGGTGTTATAGTCAGTATCTGTGTGCTTCCATTTTTCTTTGTCTATCTACGTGAATGTGTATTTGATCTACCTAAACCTCAAACCATAAACTGGAACATTGGACTGATGCTCAGGTTAAATACTGAATGACTTATGTTTCTGGAACCAGGACATGATCTTTCTCAGGATATAATAAGTCTCCAAATCCTCTATTATGTGCCCCAGAATACCCTCACCTCCTGCTACTGGACACTTGATTTCCTCCTTCACCAATCACTCTCTGCTGAGTGTCAGTCACCATTGTGCCATTGTTGTTGTTCTGGGGCCACACCCACCTGTGCTCAGGACTTTCTCCTGGCTCTGTGCTCAGGGATTCCTCCTAGCAGAGCTCAGGGGACCACATGTGATGCCGGGGATTGGAACCTGGGTTGGCCGTGTGCAAGGCAAGCACCCTACTTGCTGTTCTTTGGCTTTGGCACCAGTCTTTGTCTCTGCATGTCTCTGTGAACATGCTCACAAAAGCCTGCTTCTGCCTACCTCTGCTTTTCAGCAGCAGAAATTCTGTGTCTAACACCTGTTTTCTATCTTATGCTCCATTTCTCAAATCTTATTATATCGCTGCCTTTTCACACTTTGTAGTCTCTCTCTAATATTTGTTTGCAAAACACAAACTCATTTGTAGTTTCTATAATTACTCTTGAGTCTTCTTATGGGTAGCAGTTCCGCCCTTCTGGAGACATCTCTGGAATTTCTGACCTTTGGAGCCACGCATGAAAGGTGTTGTCTCATTTCGAGAGTCATCGGGTACTTTTTCTTGACGGTTAAGTGAGAGTTATGTTTCTGGAACCAGGACATGATCTTTCTCAGGATATAATAAGTCTCCAAATCCTTGATTATTGAGATCAAAGATATTCCACTCAAATTTTATTCATTTATTTATTTCGAGTTTTCGGGGCTAGAAGCTAGGGCCTCACACACGCAAATCCAAGTGCTCTCCCCCAAGTAATAGCCATGGCCTAAGTGTTCTCAAATGAGCACCTTGTCCATTGTATTCTCTATCCTACCTTTTAGTTTGGTTGCTGTGGGGTTCAGGGTATGGTACAACGCCTCACAGAGGAATTTCTTTAGCTGAAGCAGTGGTGTATCTTTGTAGATTGTTATTTTCCCAAGGAAGTGAGATGAAAAACTTGGGAGGAAAACTCAGAAAATGTCAGAGAAAAGTGGAGTCTCACTGTTGGTGAGTGCTATTCCTGTTCAGTCTTGGGTCTAGGTGAGTAGGACAAGGTTTTGGGCCTTACGGATGCAGCTAGATCTCTCTCTTTTTCATGTATAACCAGGTAACTCCCTGAGACAGTTCTATTCAACAGTTTGCTCCCAAAGTAACTTCAGATCAGAACTTTGGGGCATTATATAAGTTTCAATGGCCAGGGTGATACAAACGAGCATTTCATATAGTCAGAGGATGCACAAATGGTTTGAATGTTGTTGTCTAGACAAAACTCCCTAGCTCGGGGGCTGGAGAGATAGTACAGTGGGTAGGGCACCTGGCTTTTATGTAGCTGACCCAGGCTCAATCGCTAGCACCCCACATGGTCCCATAACCCCTGCCAAGAGTGATCCCTGAGCACAGAACTAGGAGTAAGTCCTGAGAACTGTGAGGGGTAGTCCAAAAACAAAAACAAAGAGAACCTTCCCAGCTTGACTATTCTTTTCTAGCATTTGTGCCTCTCTGTGAACACAAGAGTGAACCTTCGATTACAATCTGCCTTAAGATAGACGCTCTGAGAGGGTAGAGCCTTGAGTTTGAGCTTTCTTTTTTTGTTTTGTTTTGTTTTTTTTTATTTTTGTGGAATGCCCCACATTTTTGCCTCCTGGAGTAGTAACTAAATATGACTCACACTCCAGAATGCCAAGAAATACTATCGCAACCAAAAGAATACCTTTCACATAACTGGAAAGGGCTTAGGAATACCTCCAGATCCATTTGGAAATTCAGACACTGACACGTCCAGCCAGAACACACCAGAGAGAAACCCTGGTCTCAAGTTGCATCTGCTGCCGTCACAGCTCCTGGACAGTATGACAGACACAGGCCAGGGTGGACACACAGATGGTGGATCCCAGGAATTGGGTCTCAGTCCGTATGGGAACTTTTTACAAAGCTAAGAAGATTAGGTGTTTAGACAACAGTCTGGGACCATTCTAGTCACTGACTCTACATTTCAAGGAATGGTGCATCAATGTTACTTGCAGCAATCATACTGAACTGGGGGTGGGTTGAAGGGAGAGAAACAGAGAGATAGAGAGAGAGAGAGAGAGAGAGAGAGAGAGAGAGAGAGAGAGAGTAAACTTTCACAGGTCAACACATCTCTGCGCAATCCTACTATGATGATATTCCCAGAGCATTTAAAGGGACAAATGCTCAAAATACAAAGCTACCTTTGCTGACCTTTAAAATGACAACGTAGGGCCTGAGAAATGGGACAGTGAGGAGAGGGCACTTGCCTTGCACCTGGACAACCCGGGTTTCATCCCCTGACCAGTGCATATGGTCCCCTGAGCCCTGCAAGGAGTGATACAGAGCCAGTGGTATAGACCCTGAGCACTGCTGGGGGTGACCCCCAAACCCAAAAAGAGAAATGTAGCTTAAAAAGTATTCATTTTAAACCCAATTGATGTGACCTCTGGAATACTGTCCTGGTATGAGGCTTCCTTTTGCTTTCCTGTCATATTTTATTTGGGCCTCTGTAGTTGTGCAGGGGGTGAAGAGACTCCACCGAGGGGGCAGGATGGTTGAATGTTAGAGCCCAAGAAGGAGGTCTGCTCAGGCCACCCCAAGAACCCCCCAGTGTTCTCTAAGCAGAGAACACTGGGCATCAAGCTGGGGTCCTGTACACACAAGGCACGCACCTGAACCCCTGTGGAATGCTCTTGGTTCCTGTTCTCCTGTTTTAATCACAAGAAATCCTGACTGTTTGCCAAATAAGAGGACACAGACACAGCTGGAATGAAATCTGAAAAATGGGCGTGACACTTTATAGAGGAGAGTGAGACCCACATCCAGCACAAAGTTATTGGGTGACATGCTCAGGGGGCAGTTCATTCAAACTGGCACTTCTGTCAGAAGCTCTCTGTCATGTCAGATGCTAGACATGGCCATAAATATCAAAGGCCAGGAATCTGTGTGCAGACAATAAGGGCTACCTCCCTACTAGGGTGCAGAGGGTACAACAGTATCTTCTAGATCAGTAGTACCACATACTATTTCTTAAAGATCTGAATGCCACCACAAAGGGGGTCATCTCCATAGCAAGCACAATAGGTTTATGAGTAGAGCCTTCAAAGAACCCTGGAAATCGTAAATGTGAAAAAAAAATGCCATCTAATGAGCTGACACTTTTCACAGGGTGCGTCTCCTGGTGGATGAAGGCTACGAAGATCGAATTCTGGTTGCACATGACATCCATACGAAGCATCGGCTGGTGAAATATGGGGGTCACGGCTATTCTCATATACTCACCAATGTAGTTCCTAAAATGCTGCTACGGGGCATAACTGAACGTGCCATTGATAAGATTCTAATAGAAAACCCTCAGCAATGGCTAACTTTCAAATAGGATGGCTGTTTATGAATTCACACCTTGAGCACCAAACTCGCTGAGAATGCCAGTGATTTGCAGCCCACCGTGAGCTATTCACCCATGCTAGATGGGATAAATAAGGAATCAAGTTATTTTTAGGAGGGTTTGAAGAATTTTGCTTTTTCGTAAACTGGTGATCTGCATTGGGGCCCTAATTGATTTCTATTGTTTCACCTTATAATAAATACACATTCCTACTGAAAACCCTGATTTATAGTCCATATCCCTGAAGTGGAATTGTTTGTTGTTTTATGAATCTATCAGCTGCCTTACTTGAAAAAATGTAAAGGGCTTCTAGTTAAAACACTTCTTCTGGAGTACTTTGATGTTTCCTGTAATATTGATGATCCTACTAATTATCCTGCTGTTCTTTAATTAATGCTTAATGAATAATATGGCACGTTAAAACAGCTTTCCCAGCAAGGGATGTTAAATTTCAGCTTTTTTTTTCCCTAAAGGATACAGTAATACCAGTTCGCAAAGGTAAAAATATTGTGGCAAGCTAACTCTGTGCTACCCAACTTCATGTATGCACTTATTATAAATTAGGTTTGTTGCCTTTGGCATTTGGTCATCCAGTTGTGCTGTGAATTTTGTTGTGCTTTGAGAATGTTGCACAAGAAGACATGAACAAACAGATCATGGAACCACAGTGTAAAATTTCAATAAAAAAGTCAAAATATATTACATAATATAGTTTAATGACTCATTACATTTTATAATAACAAAGGCCACAATTTAATTAATAAGATATAATGCAAAAAAAGAGAAATACTTGCCATATATATATGTATATATATTTCCTTTATTTCCTTTATCATTTGTTATTTTTCCTTGGGCCTAAACAAAGAAACTAATGCTTATTTATCTGAAGAAGAGGTCAGCTCTATTAGAAATGACAGCCTGATTCTAGAGTCTATTCTTTAAAACACCAGCCCCGATTTCTTGGTGTGTAAATAAAACCTTTTTAAAAAAACTCTTAGTTGATGTGTACTGTTGTTTATAAATTAAAGTTTTGGTTGAATCCTCACTGTACTATGTGTTACCTAAAAATAAATAAAATAATCTCCAAATCCTTGCAGTCAATTTGTTTTATATAGATACACAGTTGAACAAAATAAAAATGATCACAACTCCTTTATGACTTATCTTACATAAGAGAAAGGCCAGAACGAATTAGTCATTGTTCGTGGTGAATGGACTAAATGTTTTTCATCATGTAAATCATGACAGTTAGTCAGACCCAGGCATTTCAACAAAGCCAACAGCATCTTCGGCTGGGAGCACCATGCCTCACTCTTTTTGAAAGTCGAGGGTTGCTAAATAAAAGAAATTTCTGAGACTCAAAGATGATAGAGCTTTCTGTGTATTAGAACAGAAAGTACCCAAGAGAAAATGAGCCAGGAGAACAAACTAATTCCTTTAAATGAAAAAAATGCAAATGTCCTTCACTAGTAAAACAAGCAGATTTCTAAATCTGTTTTTTGAAATCAACTTGTCAAAGAGACTTCAAAGGCAATGAGAGAGGAACAGATTTGTCATTGTAATAGGGGGAGCATTGTCTGATAGTTAGATCAACATGCATTTTTAATCTTTTTCTTAGATTAAAGAGATGGCTTTTGGCAGTGGATTTTAACCAAAGAGAAAGGATTTGCACTACTCTCAAAAATCTCCTTTCCTGTCAGCTTCAATTCACCTGAGAAACAAAGAAAAAGTTGCTAATTGAAATGCGTCAAATTCATAAACCCTGCAAACGGGAGCGACCTTGCATCTGTGGTCCTGATATGAACAGTCGGACACATATTGCAGCTAAAGTATTGATTGGCAGATGGTAATGGAGAAACCACACACCTAACTTACAGACAGAATGGAGAGGGCAGTTTCATCAAACAAAATGTCCTTTTCTTAACCATTCTAAAGAAAAAATCACTTGTTATTTTATGAACCTGTCAATACTTAAGCCATCTCAAAGAGATTTCAATTAAAAAAAATCAAATTATTTATGTGTGTGCTTGTGGGTGTGCCTCCACAGTCGCTCTTTGTAAATTAATATTTTGTGGCTATGAAACCACTGTACCCAGGATCTGGAGCCACTACGTATATTGGTCACATGTATTCTAGTTCATCTAACGCACATACACTACGTGTCTATTAGGTGATATTCATAGAAAATCTATACTTTTTGTCATATTGGTTATATGTGAAATTATTCATTTTGAAATAACCTCAGGCCAAGACTTGGAGAGACTACTTGAAGGCCTAACTCAGTGTCCCCTTGGTGACACAAGCAGTAGCTCAAATTAAACCTTTGTGCATTGGGTTATGAATAATCTTTTGTTCCAAAGAAGGCAAAAAGCCTCAGTCTGATTTAAAACCAAAGAATAAATTTCTCTTGTCTTTCCAAGGAAATCTTCACGTATTCTATTGACAAAATGGACACATAGGGGGAATTTTCTAAATACCATACATAGCTACACAATGGTACACTTAGCCGGTAATCCTATGCTACAATTGCAGTTCCTATCTGGAAAGACTATCACCAGGAAAGAGAGAAAAGAAAATCCAGAAGAAAAAGTAAAGGTGAAAATGATCATAGGCTTGGGAATTCCCTCAAATCTAGAAAATTCCAGGTTAAGGCTTGAAGTTGAATCATTCCCAGGTCCAGCGCTAAAGGTAACAAGAGTACAAGGCAAACAATTTCTTTGGGCACAAGCAGCATTTATATCAATTAGACCTTCTCTTGCGGGTGCAACCATCCTTTCCCACGCTATGAGCGGACTCCAAGGATCAGAATAAGCAGGTAAACTCACAAGAACCGAAGCTGACATATGGGTAAGAGCAGCAAGATCACAGTACACCAAAGTATCATATATATTGAAGAAATAATTCAGTGTCTTAGATTTTTCTATAAAAATTTGTGATCTATATAGGACTTCATTCACATGGACACTAACGATTAAGGAGGATTTGCTTTGGCGGTAGAGGATCACACATCTGCTTATTTTGCTTTAAATAGATTATTTTTACATAATGTGTCTGAGTATACAGATGTGAGTCAGGTAGCATTTGATTTCCCCACATATACAACACAAGTGACGTGGCCCCGGGGTTGGCACCCCCCCGGGGGAATCCTTGATTCACGGAGGTGAGCCACACGAATCCAGAGTCCAAATGCTTCATTTCTGCACCATCAGTCAGCATAGATAATAAATCCAGAAAACGTGCTGTATTTGTTGTTGTTTCCCCCGTGGGCCTTCCCGCCATCTAACTTGATGTAAATTTCATCTCCTGGCTCCAGATGAAGAACCACACTGTTGCTGGCATAATCATAATTCTGATCGGCATCCTGGGCGATGGCACTGGCTCGAACCTAAGAGAAGCACACAAGAATTAGGCTGTGTGAAGGATCATTTTTCAAGGGTTCTGTTTTTCAAAAAAAAATTTTGGATTCCACCCTTCACACAGCATCATGCGCAAACTCACTGCTGTGGCAGAGAATCTAGCACTGAGGTTCACCTCAATCTGAGAGCTGTGTGTGGAGCTATTTAAAAACGTTTTTGGAGTGGAGCAAAGGGTCAAACAGTGCTCCTGGTCACCATCCCATGGGCTTTTCCAAATATATGTTGGAAATTATGCATGCAGAATGATCTATTCTGTTTCTTAAACACTGCTTTTGCTAATTTCTTGAATGTCTATGCCCAATCACTTCTTGAAACGGAAATACGAGTGGGTTTTTTTAATTGTTTTTTTTGTTAGTTTTTTTATTTTAACTAAGATGAAAAAGCAATGTTCTAACCATCTGTTAAGGATTATAAAATTTCAATCCAAACTTCATTTGGTCCCCATGAATATTAGCAATGAGGTTCACAGCAGGCAAAGACTCAGAAACACGAGGCTTCCAACTCTACTGCCTTTGAAGGAAAAAAATGGTAGAAAGTCTTGCAACTTGGAGGTTTTTAAATCTCAGTCAAGCAAAGCCTCTTTTTATCAGAAGCTGAGCTCTTTTCAGCATCTCTGGTTATGTCTTCCAAACTACTTCAGTTTGACCTTTCTTTTTAGTTGGCTGATCAATGTATAGCATTGATTTAATTTCAACCTACTTAAAAGTTAGGAAGTAAATTTTCATAATTTGAGGTCTCTTTAAAATTTCTAGAATGTTTTAATAATCTCCTGGAATTTGCTTCTACATTTAGGCAATTCTGAATATCTGGTTTGGCTTAAGGTTGGAGATTGGTTAAAACTCTGCTTATTGAGCCTGGGATCTCATTAGTAAGTTGACAGATATTTATTTGCAAACAGTCAAATTGCCCATCCTATCAAGTAATATGGACTTTCTGTCATATCAACTCAAATGAGGCTTAGTATTAATTTAGAGATATTTTGACCGTACCTTGGAATTTCTTTCAATAGGCAGACCTGTGTGTGATTTATTTCAGTAAAACATCTCCTACTTTGTGGCTTGTTTCTATTCCACTGTGATGATACTTCCCCGAATAACACAGCAAGTGATTTAGTGGTTTTGTAAACCTGCACTGTGTAATAATGCATGACTTGGGGTACAATAGGCTGAATCTTATCACTTGGCAAAATGAGGAAAATGAAACATAAGTCAAGAATTTTCATGCATTTCTTTCAAAATTGAAATGGTAGGCATCCAAATTAAATTTTTATGGGATATGTTCTCACATTAATGCTGAAATGTTACAAAAAAAAAAAAGATCTTTGACACTGCTGAAGTAGTAATCTGAGTACTATTTAATTTTTTTCTTACTAGGTATCATATAGCAAGAGGAGAAAAAGGGCTTAAAAAGGATCAAGAATTGCTAACTCTGTGCTAAGTGACACTAATATAATGAATGCAGTATGACATGCAATTATACTCAGAAGCACTGACCCAAATGTATACATACAGTAATTTGGCGATGGGGTCTGTTTTGACCATTAAGTGATAATACAATTTAAATTCATAATATTTCATGGGCATAATCATAAGTTTGTAGGAGCTAAAGACTTGGATTCATTAACTGCATCTAGTCCTTAATTCCCAAGGGGAAAAAAAACCTACACCAAGAATATCAATGTTATAATATAACAGTTTTTATTTATAGATTTTTTAAAGGGTGAGAAAAAATTAAGATACAAAATAGCAATTAAGTCGTTTCTGTAATATACTGAGTATCCACCGTATCCTTCTGAGCTATTATTAATAACAAGGAACACATTGCATTTGGTGCTTTGGGTATTCAGTGTAAGTTCTATGGCAACTCTGGCTTTTATACTGTTGTCTGTACAAAGGCATTGGGCAGTAGGGCTCATTAAAATCACATGATTTAGAGACATTAATCTTAACCCTACAGACATGAAGCAGTTTATATTCTATAGGAAATAACCACAAACCATGTTGATATTATCATTTCTATTCAGTAGGTGTGACCACAGAGGCCTGCAAATGCATTAAGGTGACCCCATGGAGCGCAAGATCACTCTGGTGGGTTCACTTCCTTTGCTGGATTTAGTCAATGTGGTTGCTTCCTAATGAAAGTGATCCTCGAAGATCTCAACCCAACCAGCATCTCGAGACATTCCCAGTTCAAGAATGGTCCTTCCCTAGAACTTTGCCTGATGTTAACTATTACCCATTCACCTGATCAAACTCAAAAAGATAAACTGGGACTGGAAATTTCAAACCGGAGCATCCAACCCAGATGGATGCTCTTCTCACAATTCCTCCCCTGAAGCCATCAAACTATTTAGAAGGTAATGCATCCATCCTCAGGCTATTTTCAGGTTCCTAAATGTACACTGATTTCAGCATTTTTCCTCGGAATATGATACCTCCTTTCCTCAGCCTGATATACTTATTTCTACCTAAATGTACTCTAATATCTTTTCATAGTATAGGTTAACTATTTAGTTCCTGCTTGATCTTTAATGCAAATTTCACAGGCCTGGAAAAAGAGATCAAATTTGACATCTCATTTATCTTGAATAAATGAACAGCCATCCATAAACTCATTCTTTTTAATATATTTCACTTCACTGGGGTCATCACAAATACATTCGGAGTGTAAGAATTTGGTCTTTAATTATTTCAGAGTTCCAATGCCGAGCCAGCTTTTTTTTTTTTTTACTTTTTATTATAGTGGTTTGACAGTGATAACATGGAAAAAGCGATGGTTTCTGTTGAGGTTTTCTGCTAAAATTAGACAAACAGATGAAAAATAGGTTTTTGTCTCTAAACTTGCTGAATTCAACTGTTACCTTTCAGAGGTACTGCCATAGATGCCCCCTGCCCCACCCCAGCCAAACAATAGTAAGATGAAATTTTTAGGTGGACGGTTTCACAGGGAATATGAGAAATCACGATCCTTTGAGTGGTATGCTTATGAGAATGTAATAGGTTTGGTAGCTGCAGCTTGATCTTATTAGTGAGGCTTTACCATCAGAGACAATATTTATGGTAACATCTGCTAATTGAATTAATTGCTGCTGATGTCCTCCTAATTTCATTTTCATTGTTCTTCGGTGGAATCCTAGCAAAAGGTTAAGTGGCGCATCAGGTTAATTTACTGGCCTCTGACGCTTCTATCTGCGATGCTGCACACAAAGCATAAATAAAACAGGCTTGCCGTCCAGACAGATGCCCCTAGCTGAGAGTGAACTGCATTTTGGGTTTAATTTTTGTGCTTCTCAACATCCACTTAATCCATGGACTATTACACTGACATGGGTATCTGAGTTTCTGTTTGATGAAAACAAGTGAGGTTGGCTTAAAAGAGGGGTGGTGGGGAGGGAAACAGCTGTTCCAAGAAGTGATCCAGCAAGGGCCGAACTGAAAATCAAGGCTAAAACATTTATTTCATGTTCGTTAAGAAAATTAAGACTAGGGAAGATGTCCCCCTTGCCATGGCTTGCCCACCAGACAAGACTTGACCCCAGATAGTTCTATCCTCCAGATAAAATTCCTTTAACAGGAAGGTGGTAATAAGCATTCTCTGAAACAGCCCGTGCTGAACTCAGACATCTTTTATTTGCCACTCTTCCTTCATTTTCTTAAATTACTTGTTGCATGCCTTGGGCAGAAGTGGCAGCTAAATAAAACCAATGGAACAAGAAAAGACCTTGCTACTGCACCAGCTGCTCCCCGGCCTTCTCATTCTTCCTCATCCTCAGAAAAGTTTCATGAAGGAGCCCTGGGTACCCCCACACAATGAAATACTTTGGAAGAAAACAAAAATTCTCCTAGAACACCCACTGAAATCTTTTCCTGGAATCTTTGGAAAAGACCCGGGCTCAGCACCCTGGATATTGTCACAGGCACCCATTTCTCCGTCATGATACCTAGTTTGCTATGTAATCATCATTTCCAGATATTTCGGGGGGGGTGATATTACATACCTGCGTTGACATATCTAATCTTCATGAAAGCCTCTTAAAAACAATCCCTTTGACCAGGGTGTTTGACAGACCTAACCTTGGAGTCAGAGGAGAACGGTTTGTAAATAAACAGGCACTTCCTGGCTGTGAGCTGGGGAGCTGTTCCTAGCATCTCCTTGGGGTGACACAATAGCTTTATTTGGGAACAGTGAGTCAGGCCCCTTTAAACAGAGATCTCTAAGTAGCCCCACTGCTCGTGAATAATTTGATTTTTCTCTTAATATTATATTTGTGCATAATAACTAGCGAGCTACCCCGTCAATGCCTCCTGGTGGCCATTTTCCTTTCTGTTCTTAGTGTCCTGCCGGTCCCTTAAGCTATTCACTTCCCAATTTCCTTAGCAGTGGCTGAGAAGGGGGGTGGGGGTTGGTTGTCGGAGCTTTCTTTCTTTAAGAAACTTTGGATATTTATCTTTCACTTGGGAAGGAGTTCAGAAAGAACTCTTTCTGAGCATGATTTAGCCTTTGGAAGAAATACTGACCAAGTACTGTTTGATACAAACGTGAGTTAAAGCATCCAAAGGTCTGACCTCAAGAGACCAGTCACCCACAGCCTGAGACCCCTTGGAAAAACTGGGTAGGGTGATGGGTGGCGGCCTTTCCCCATGCCACGACCCCCAAATGAAAAGTTCAAGCCCCCCAAACTCCATCTAGCCTGCAGGCAAGGAAACTTGGCAGGAGATGGGGAAGGGGTGTGTGTGGGAGGGGGTGGGGGGTATGAAGGGCTCTGATGACACTTTGGGATAGTCACACATATTATTTTCCTCCTCTGGCCAAGAATCAAGAGATCATAAACTCGGGTTTTGCAACGACCGCGAATTTCTCAAGCAAACGATCCAGGAGTGGCGGCAGTAAACTGCAGCCCCGGGCAGCTCCGGAGAGCGAGTGTGTGGCTGATCCGAGCGCCTATCACAGTCAAAGCCAAAGTCTCCCCAGGTGTCAAGGCCAAAGGGCCTCCGCGCGAGCGCCCAGACTGCTGGCACAGAGGCGTGCGGCCCCAGTGGCTCTGGCCTCCGCCAGCTGCCCGCGCGCCCTTGGAGTCCGGCCCGGGTCGTTCGTGTCGTGCGCCCGGGAGTGTGGTTGACGGCGTCAGCCCTAGGCTCTCAACTTTTCCTGTCGCGATCAGCTCCCTCTTTCTCCTTCCCGAGTGAGTCCGAGTGACAGTCTCCGGACAGGCAGGCTGGGAATTTGGAGACGACCCGGGGTCGCCGGCCCACGCCCCCGCTGAGCGCCTGGACTAGCCCGGCGGCCCCGGGGCCTCTTTCACCCCAGGACCGGCCACCCAGGCACGCCCATCCCGGGCTCCGCAGCCGCAGTTCCTAACCCCTAGCCCGGCAGGCAAAGTGTATCCACGACACCCCTAACGCTGGCTGAGAAGCGGGGGACAAGGGGGCTCGTATCACGCTTCAGGGGCCACACAAGCTATCCAGGGGAGACGGAGCTCCCGCCCGGCGCTCCAGAGTTGCACTGGTGGGGGAGGGGGGTGTCCGCTCTCTCCGGGGGCCGCCCAAGGAACCCTCCTGGGCGCACGGGGGACCCCCGCCTCCCGGGGGTGATAGAGCGAGGCGCCGCGCACCGTGGCTGCTCCGGAAAGGGGGGGCGCCCTTCCCCTCCGCCGGCGCCCACCCCCTCGGTCCCCCCGGGGGGTCTCTCCTCCCTCTCGCGCCGCACCTGGCCGCGCCCGCTCCCCGCCCTCCGCGCCGCCCGCGCGCCCGCTCTCACCTGGTTGTTCTTGCACAAATCGGCCCACATGCTCGTGCCGTCGCCGCCGCGCATCAGGACGTGGTAGGTGAAGAAGTAGATGCCCGGGATGGAGCAGGTGAACTTGCCCGTGGTGGGGTCGTAGTGGTTGCCCAGGTTGGTGACCACGTCGTCGAACTTGAGCACCTCATAGCCTTCGTGCTGCCGCTTGAGGCCGGCGTAGAAGGCGATCTTGGGCACCGTGCTGTAGGTGGCGGCGCTGATGGCCCCGGCCGCGCTCAGGCCGGGCGCTCCAGGCGGGCCCGGCAGGCCTTGGCGGCCCGGCTCGCCCTTGTCACCCGGGGGGCCCACGGGGCCCGGCGGGCCCGGCTCCCCGGGGGGTCCGCGCGGGCCCGCCTTGCCCGGCCGGCCCGCCTCGCCTTTGGGGCCCTGGATGAAGGTGGGCAGCGACTGCATGAGGCCGCGATCGGGCGTGGCGGCCGTGCTGGGCGCCTTGGTGCCCCCGTAGGGGTCGCAGACCATGCGGCAGGTGCCCAGCATCTCGTAGTGCGCCGACGTGCCGGCCGAGCTCACCAGCACCGGGATGAGGATGACCAGCAGCAGCACCATCACCACCCCCAGCGCCCCGGCGGCGATCAGGCGCCTCCTGCTGCCCACCAGCCGGCTCAGCGCGGGCCGATCCTCTTGTCTGCTTTTGGACAAAATTTTGAAGGTTGGGCGGGGACCTCTTCAGAGCCGAAAAAAAAAAAAAGCAAAGGCGCCGACCCCCCCGCGCCCCGCACCCGGGCGAACCCCGAGTGCCCCTGGGCGCGCGCGCACCGGCCGCTCCTGCCCGGCTCCCGCTCCTGGGGCGGCTGCGGCCGGAGGGAGCTCGGCGGACGCCAAGTGACTTGAGCCCAAGTCCCGAGCCGGGATGGGGGCAGGGGTGGAGCTGGGGGGAGGGTGCGCGGGGCGCCCCCCCTCGCCGCGGGCGAGCCCCTTGGCACCTGTGGCTGCCGCCGGCGCCGCCACCCGGAGGGCAGAGCCGCCGCCGCCGCCTCTCGCGCCCGCCGGCGCCGCTCACACTTTTATGCCGCCGCTGCCCGCGATCGACTCGCGCTTTTCTGCCGACTGCGCCAGTTCGCACCAACTTTCCGTCTTCAAGTTGCCTTTTTTTTTTTTCCAGCCTCCCCTCCCGTCTCCTTCTTCTCAGCTCTCGGTGACCGCCCTTTTCCCGGCTGCCTCTTTCTCTTCTTCTCCTCCTCCTCCTCCTTCTACTCTTCCTCTTTTTTCCTCTTCTTTTCTTGCTCTTAGACGCTCCCCGCGACTCTCTCGGATGCGACGCGCAGCCCGCGAGGCCCCGCGCTGGCCGTTCCCGGGTGCACGGGGCGCTTCGGGGCGCAGCGCGCTGGACCCGGCGGCCCGGCTCCTCGAGGGGCTGGAGCGAGAGCGAGAGCGAGCGAGTGAGCGAGCGAGCGAGCTGCCGAGGGAACCTCACGGCCGGGAGCCGAGCGCGAGAGCGACTGAAGGCAGGATTGTGCCCGGGTACCACCTGCCAGGAGGAGAGGAGGCTGACAAACGCGCGCCCGAGCAATTTATAGGCACCAAGGCACAGAGGAAGGGGAGCCGCTTTGGCATCTCACTGCAGCATCTGCTCGCTCCATCCCACTCAGAGGGAGTTTGGCATTACTCTGACAATGTGGGATTTTTTTCTCTCTCTCGGCCTCTCTCCCCCCCACATCGCCACCCCCCCTTCTGCACATGGATGGCCAGTAGCGTCTCACTACTTACTCTTCGCCTGAACCCGGGCGCTGGGCTTCCCTGGGATGGAGTGTGGGGAGGAGGCCAGGGGAGCAGCTGCACTGGGTGAACTCCGGGGTCACGCCTGAGCCTCCGAGCTGCCAACAAGCCCCTGCTGGAAGGTGGAGGTGAAGGTTGGAAGGAGAGAGGCCGGGCTGATGCTCTTTCTCTCGGCCTCACTCCCCTAGGGTGCTTCAGGTGTTTCTCAAAATGCCACATTCAACAGCCCAGGACCCTTCAGAATTTTCCAGAGGGTAGATGGGATTTTTTTTTAACCTTACAGGTTTCCTCCCCACTCTGTCAGCCTTTTACAGTGAAGTAAGATATTAGCTAGAGAAAGAGAGAAGGTGTGTTGAAAAGCAAAAGGATGTCTCCCAGAGACTGTAAAGGAAAGAGGGGGCAGGCTGGAGAGGGGGGTCTTTATACAAATGCCCAACGGGTGAATGTCGGCCAATGTGTCCCATTTAAGGACTGACAATTCCCGTGACCTTTCAGGAGATGCTTCTATTGGTCCCAGAGTGGGATCTTTGTAAGGATACGTGAGAAATAATTACTTGCCAAAAGGCCTCCAAAAGTCTCAGATCAAGCTGGTGGCAGTTAACCAAAGCACAGAGCAACATCTTTTAGGAAGATGCAGAAAGAGTTCACTCAAGTCCATAGCACGTCCCTTGCCTGTCCACGAGGGGAAGAGAAAATAGGCATGAGATGAGACAGAAATCCCCACAACCCCCCATCCATGTACCCCACTAGTATCGGGAGAGCAAGAGAAGGACCGACCAGGACAGTAATCATGAACTGAAAAATCCCCTGAGAAGACAAGAGCCAAATTACCCCACCAACCACTACCTAGGACCCAGCCAAAGGGCTTTAAATAAACAAGCAGAATTGATTTGTAAATCACACTTTTGCATTCAGGAGCAATGGATGTCAATCAAACATGGGTGACATTTGCTTGTCAATATGGGGATGATGGCTGGTGACTTATTACATCAGGGCGAGAATCTGAAATGAGCAGCAGGGACAAATGAGGCTACAGCAAGCAAACAATAACAAGCCGGGATCTTTTCAGCAGGTCCCCTTTTTCTTGTGGCCCTTCTGCTAACCTCCTCCCAGCCCCTACCTCACCCGGTCCAGCCCTTTCTCTCCTCCTCGGTTCCAAAACAAAATAAGGTCATGTAAGCAGGCAGGAGGAAACAAAGATTCATTGATTCTGTGAAGAGAAATGTCAGCAGTTCCTCCAGGTCCTTCCTGAGAGAATCAGGCCTTGGGTGGTGGGGCTCAGCCTGGCCAAGCCCCTACATTTTCCCTCCTCTTGAGTGTCCAGTCGGAGCGCCTCAGCTGGAAAACAGTTCTGTCCACATCCCCGGATTTTATTTTAGGGGAGTGGTTTTGGAAACATGTGTCTATATCCGCTCGTAATTCTACATCTATTTCTGAATAGTTTTGTTCACGTGGGCTCCGATATTTTTGTATTTTTTGAGCCCCAGACACATAGTAAGTTCTTTCTTGGCCGGCAATACCCGTTTTTCAGAACACCCTTCCTAGGTGGTATCTAAAAAGCCTCTCTTTGGGAGAACAAAAGGGTCAAGCTTGGCGTGGCCAAGCCAGCCGGGGTGGGGAGTGGTGGATGGGGTGCCGATATTAATATATCATTCTCTGATGCACCAAATGATCTAAAGTCATCTTGTCACAGAGAGCTTAGCGAAGGCTTCTAACCTTAGAGAAAGCCATTGTCAAAGGTAGGATTATATAAACACTTCCCTCATTGCAAACCTCAGGCTACACAGACTTGTCCAGTGGAGAATGCCTGGGGAAAGGTTCGCAAAGATGCCCAGGAAACGGTGAGCTGGAGTGGAATGTAGAAAACCCATGTGCAATTGCAGACACCAAGAGATGAGGGATCTCAGCAGTTCTGCCTTTGAAGTGAGCTTGCTGGTTCACGACTGGCTCCAGCCCACCCACCCCACCATCCATCACAGTGCTCCTGATCAGCGCAGTTCCCATTTTCTGTCACCCTGAAGCAGATTTTGACTTTGCAGGTGATCTCTTCCAGTTCTGCAGAAATGAGGGGAGCTGCTCAGCATTCCGAATTCACAACAAAGGCATCAGCTGCACTGATCCCCACCTGCCAAATGGGTAGAAACATACACGCTGGGGACTTTACAGTGAAGCAAATTGAAAATTGAAAGAATCAGTCTGTCCTTAAAGTTGAAAGGTCTGATCTCTGTTTTATCCCTTTTTCCACCCCCTCTAGAAATATCCCCCAAGTGGACTGGGAAACCATGTTTGCCTCCTCCCTCCCCCAATGTTTTCGGGGATGTCTGGGGTACGGACAAATATGGCTGGCTGTTGCCACTGCTCAGCTTCTCAAATTCCCAGAAGGTTCTCTGGAAAGTTACTCATGCCTCAGCTCTCATTCTGACAGTTTGAAGAAACCATCTGATATGGTGCATTACTCATCATCTTTAGAGGGATATAATAATAGAAAATGTGTCAATTAAAAAAATATTTGATTTTTCCCAGTCCTCATCAGAGAACTAAGTTTCGCTCAGATGAAGCATTAATTTTGGAAGAAGGCCTGAGGATTGGGTTTTTTGGACAGTGTTTCTGAGCCATGTCTCAAGAAAACACGGGGTTGCCTCATCCCCTCCCTTCTGCAACTTGGGTACCCGGCAGGAATGAAAGCCTGGCCAGAAACCCATGATTTGAATTGGGGTGGGGCAGGCTGTGCCTTTGGTGACCCCCACAGCATCTCTGCTGGAGAACTGAACAGACACTCCGCAGACTGCTCCCACACAGTCGTACGTGGCCATCCATTAATCTTTATTCAGAACCCACTGATGGCAGAGCCAGTGCTGGGCTCTTGCTGGGTAAAAAAACACCACGACAAAAGAATGACTTCAGATTCAACACCACTTAAAGAGCAGTCCTTACGAGGGATGGGGGGAATAAATAAACCCCAAGGATTATTGAGAGAAATAGACATAATTTTTTTTTAAAAAGGGACTGGGTCTGATATTTATCTTTGAATCCTGGGTCTGCAAACTGTGTTTCAGAATGTACTTGATTTTGACTGAAGACGTGCATGCTTCCAGCCAGACAGGGTCTGCTTGGAGTTAGATGGGGAAGCAGGAAGTCCTTAGGTTCTGGAATCCCGTGAGTCTTAACGGGAATCCCAGCTTTCTCATTAGTGGCTATAAAAGTTACATAATCTCACTGAGGTTTAATGTCTTTTGCTATAAAAAAAAAGGGAATAATACCAATCCCTACATAAAAAAAGGTTTTTAGAAGAGATTGAGGGACCAGAGAGATGGTACAAGAGGTGAGATGCCTTGCTGGAGCCCACCTGGTTCAATTATTAGCACTGCACAAGGCTCCCTGAGCACTGCCAGGGGTCATTTCTGAGCACAGAGCTAAGAATGACTCTTGAGCACCACCATATAAGCTTGATACCTCTCCCCACCACAGGAAAAGATTGGGTAAATGCATACACTAGCAGCAATACTTATAATGTTAGCCTGATAAATGTCAGTTTATACCCTATACTGTCATATACAGTATGGCTGTCTGGTAGCGTATAAGCTTAAGAACCAGTGGCAGAAGACAAAGCTTCACAAAGGAACCTAAAGCAAAAGGCCACACTTAGCACAAATGGCACCAAATGCACAATAAATATTCTAGACTTAGATAAAACTGGAAAGAACATGATATTTCTCTGGCCATGCAGATGTATTCTCCAATAATATGGGTGCATGGCAGATGACCCCAAGCAAGAAGAAACAAGAAAATAAAACAGAAATTGAAGGTCACTTATCCTTTTCCAAAGTAAGAAAAAAAAACTTTCACAGAAAAATCACTTAAATTCACTGGTTGGATAAATCAATTTTTGAGATTGAGTGTCCAGGAGGAGAATGTGCTCCTTTCCTCCAGAAAATTCTTCAAGTCAACAAATGGTAAACACATTTAAGAATTGTTGAGGTTATTCATGGCCATTTGAAGATGGGGGTTGATAACTCATAATCATGCACATGCACCCAAGAGAATTACCTTATTTAGTTAACCACAAGAGCAACCAACCACCATGCAGACAATAGAAACCTAAGTCATAACCACGTCAGTAGGGGATTTGCCACACTAAACTCCATAGAAATGGGAGTTGAAAGCTAGCATGGCAATGACTGAATATCTAGAAGGAGGTGGTGATTCTTACATTACATTAAGACTCTGTTACAATGTAGAGTTTCAAATTGGTTTCCAAGTCATGCTATATCAACAGATGGATAAAAATCTTTAATAGGGATATGTCATTCCACATACGCCCCAGTGGCATGTTTGGTATCTATGATGCCATGTGGTAAGGAAATGAAGACAAAGTTACTGGGAATGAGATCTAACATATCAGCAAGTCCTCCTAAATTATACAAGGAAGGTAGGAAATTCAAAGAACTAATATGACAAATATAACTACCC